GAGAGAGAGAGGAAAGAGAGGGAGAAAGAGAGAGAAGAGGTTATAGTAGTTATGGTGGACGTATGAGGGTCAAGCAGATCAGTTCCTAGGAACCGACAGCCTAGACACCGGCACATATGATTTGATTATAGTGGTAAATTGCTTTGTGTAGAACCAACCACACTTTTTGAAGAGCCGAATACAGGGACCTGGTGCTCTATGTGCTACAAGGTCCCCAAACGATCCTCCACAGGCTTTGAATTCGGAGTTGTCCTTCTCCTAGACTAGTTGCTATCCAAGGCTTTAGAACGCAGTATGTCCTGTGTGGCAAGGTGGAGTAATGGATAGCGACTCAGATTGAGGAATCAGAGAGCTGAGGTCCAATTCCAGTCGAATCCATTGAATTCATTTACGTACTATTACCCTTGGTAAAGGTATGAATTTTCTCCCCCCCCCCTTGTTATAGGTAATATATTTAAAAAAATTAGGAGATCCGTTTTTGTATCTTCAGGTGGTTTGTATCAATTGATTTCCCAACTCTTTGCTTTTTTTCAAGAAATAGATAAATAAACGCACCACGTTGGGTATGATAGAAAGGGAGGGGGAGGATGTTAAGAAGAAGAAGAAGAAGAAGAAGAAGAAGAAGAAGAAGAAGAAGAAGAAGAAGAAGGAAATAAAGAGTATTGTAAAGATTTGTGGCGGGGTAATCGAAATGTACATATTTTTTATCCAGCCTCATATGAAATTTTTTCATATGAATGCAACGGCTCATAATTTCGACCCTTTGATTCAAAAGATGTTTTGGATCTGGGAATGTCATTATTGATAACTTATCTTTTTGGCAGAGGTTGCAGATGTTATTATGTTTGTTGCAGCGTTTGGCTTTTTTTTTTTCAAAATTTACCATTTTATAGTTGCATCTTTGTTGTTTTTATCTGTTTAATTTCCACACATAGTTAGCTAGTCTGGAAGAGTTCCTAAGAATTTCCAGTTTGAATGACGACCTGTGATTGAGCCGTTTTTCTTTGAAACCACCTTCATTACATCCTATGTATGTTTTGTTCTGGCCTTCTATTAATTCTGCTTTATAAATTACAAGTTCGGTTTTGCAAACTCCATTTCATGTACATTTATTTTTAGTTCTGCAGTTGCATAATTCACTAGTGTTAATATTTGGCTGCACGTTAGTTTTTTTAAATTTCTGGTGTTTTGTGTTTTTAGTATTTTTTATTGTCTTTTATTATTTTTTTTATTATATACAAAAATGCTTTTTTAGTATATTATATAAAAAAGATTACTTAACTTTTAAATATCAATTTTTCCCGACTTCGAAGTTTCCTGGTAAGATTTATGTTCTTCAATGGGTTCGGTTTTAAATGATATTTCCATTTTTTTCAACTTGTTTTTTTCAATTTCATTTTTTCAACTTGTTTTGTATTTTTTCAATCTTTTACACACACACACACACACACACACACACACACACACACACACACACACACACACATTAATATATATATATATATATGAAGAAAAAATTTGTCTTTTTTTTTACGTCTGACGTTTTGTATCCTTGACAAAGACGTATTCCTGAATATAACGTTCTTTTCACACACACACACACACACACACACACACACACACACACACACATATATATATATATATATATATATATATATATATATATATTTCTAAAGAAATAATCGAGTTATTTTGAATCCGACACTTTATTACCTCAAACATTATTTTAGTGGATGCCCATATTTGGGTAGACTCCCCGTTTTTTTCAAACAGTGTTTATTGCCTTTACCGGTCTACGCACTCGATGATTGCACAGGCCGGTAGACATATTAAACGCGAAGCGTCTACTCAAATACTGTTATTCATCTAAAATAACGTTTGAGATTATATATATATATTTTTATATTTACATTTGATACGCCATGAGCAGTTATGAATGTACGCGATTCATGGAAGATTGAAGTTTATAAGCAGTAAATTCGACCTTGCCTACCGAACGCTCCTTTGTGGCCGAGTCGGTTAAGGCACATCAGCGTAAATGACGGTTCCGTATAGGATGCAGGTTCGAATCCTGTCAAAGAACGAATATTTTCTATGAAAATTTCTCGGACATTCAGGCCGGTAAATGTTATTTAATACTGTTTATTATAAATTACTTAAATACTTGTATCTATAAAAAGAATGTTAAACATAAAAATGTCTTTAATATATATATATATGTGTGTGTGTAAACTTTGGAGGCAGGTTCACCACATCAAAAGAAGGACAAAAGTCCATATAAACATATGTTCGCAAATCCTTCGTTTTTGAGTGATTAAATTTAGAGTTTACGATAGACGCTGTTAAATGCACAATCCATGACGCAATCCAAAAATCTTTTACAAACTTTTTTTTTTTTTGGGGGGGGGGTTCCTGGTATGAAAACAAGTTAAAATGTCCATATAAACATATACTCAAAAGGCCATCGTTGTACCTCAACACAGCAACTCATAAGAAATGTTCAAAATGTCCTTCGTTTGCTTGTACACACGTAAGCATCCGTCGGATCATTGACTGGTGGACTCTTTCAAATACTTCCACATGGTGTCAAATGGCTTCACAGTTTTTTCTTTTTATTATTCATATCATATATATCCTCAACGACCATTGCAGGAAAGGAAAAAGTACAAAAGGAAAATTATGACATATAGAAAAAGAAAGAACGGAAAAAGAAGGAAAGAAAAAAGAAAAAAGAAAGAAAGAAAAAAAGAAAAAAAAGAAAGAAAGAAAAAAGAAAAAAGAAAAGAAAAGGAAGGAAGAAAGAAAGATAGAAAGAAGAAAAAAGAAAGCAAAAAGAAAGAAAAAAAAGAAAGAAAGAAAAGAAAGAAAAAAGAAAGAAAGAAAAAAGAAATAAATAAAAAGAAAGGAAGGAAAGAAAGATAGAAAGAAAGAAAACAAGAAAGAAAAAAAAGGAAAAGAAAGAAAGAAAAAAAAAAAAAAAAAGAAAGAAAAAGAAAAAGAAAAAAAAAAGAAAAGAAAGAAAAAAAAGAAAAAAAGAAAAAAGAAAAAAGAAAGAAAAAAAGAAAAAAAAAGAAAGAAAGAGAAAGAAAAAAAAAAGAAAAGAAAAAAAGAAAAAAAAGAAAAGGAAAAAAATGAAAGAAAAAAAAAAGAAAAAGAAAGGAAAAAAGAAAAGGAAGAAAAAAAAAATAAAAAGAAAGAAAGGAAAAAAAAAGATAGAAAGAAAGAAAAAACAAAAAAGAAAAAAAAAAGAAAAGAAGGAAAAGAAAAAAAAAAAAAGAAGGGAAAAAAAATAGAAAGAAAGAAAGAAAAAAGAAAGAAAAAAAAGAAAGAAAGGAAAAAAGAAGGGAAAAGAAAGAAAAAGAAAAGAAAGAAAAGAAAAAAAAGAAAAAAAAAAAAAGAAAAAGAAAAAAAAGAAAAGAAAAGAAAAAGAAAAGAAAAAAAAGAAAAGAAAGAAAAGAAAAGAAAGAAAAAGAAAGAAAAAAGAAAGAAAGAACGAAAGAAAAAGAAAGAAAGTAAGAAGGGAAAAGAAAGAAAGTAACGGAAAGAAAAAAGGAAAAAAAAGAAAGATAGAAAAATAAAGAAAACATGGAAAAAGAAGGTAAGGAAAAGAACAACAACAAAAAAGTAAAAAAACAAAAAACAAAAAACGATCATTGTCTCGAGAGAGAGACGCAAACGTTGTCTCTTCGCAAACGATTGTCGACATTTCATCTCCGCAAACGATTGTTCAGTTCTCAAGACGCGCCATACTTCAAATCACACGATTTCCAACCGGATTTTCAGTTATACTAAAGAAAGCAAATGAAAGCCAATCGTCCCAAAAACCTTGGACGCTGAAGCAACTAAATACACATTTATGTACGCGAACTAAATTTATGGTTTTTTCGTGAAAGTGTATAGAGAAACGAGAAGAAAAGGCTAACAAGACGGGTGCCCGGATAACTGTCACAACTGCCCCACCTTAAAGGGTCAAATGGAATTGTTTTAACTTTATCGTTCTGAGAAGGATATTTGTATGAATATACAAATTTTTTAATATGGACGACTCTCCAGAAATTGCGCGGCGAACGATGTAGAAACTTGGTCAAAAAGAAAAGTCTATACAGGTGAACAGAAATATAATGATTATATATCAATGTAGTATATATTTATCACCAAACATTCCAACTTTACAGTAATTAATCTATCTATCTATCTATCTATCTATCTATCTATCTATCTATCTATCTTAACCTGTCACTTCTTTCCCTCTCCTAACATAGACTGTTCACATCTGTTTAAATCTATCTATCTATCTATCTATCTATCTATCTATCTAAATCTGTACATCCCCATTCTCTCTTTTAACGTAGACTGTTCACATCTATCTATCTATCTATCTATCTATCTATCTATCTATCTATCTATCTATCTATCTATCTATCTATCTTAACCTGTCACTTCTTTCCCTCTCCTAACATACTGTTCACATCTATCTATCTATCTATCTATCTATCTATCTATCTATCTATCTATCTATCTGTTTTTATATATGTATATTTCTATGTAAATCTATTTTCCAATGTAAACGCGCAGATGACTCTATAGAAAACGACTCAATGTGCATGGACCTATTTATACCCATAGACTGTTCAAGAAACTGTCAAGTTTAAGGTACCCCCGCCCACACCCCAGAGACAGAATTCACACATGAGTAACTACTGATGTTCACATATATAAGAGACCACATATAAGCATATATACGTGTATACATTTATTACATAACACACAAACACGCATATATGTACAGACTATATATCAACGCTATAAACTGTATACCATGCTTACTCATATATAGACACGTGTATAGAGTTATTACGCATAGAATGTATATATGTGCAGAAAAAAGCACATGTGAATAAACACACACACATACACACACACACACACACACACACACTTGCATTATAATGAGTTTCTACGGACAAAAGGCTGTCGTCCTCGACAATGGATCTGGAATGTGTAAAGCGGGATTTGCCGGAGAGAACAATCCGCGGTCTGTTTTCCCGGCGTTGATTGGACGTCCTAAGCACCCACCAGCCATGGTGCTTGGATACGAGCCGACAGATTTTTACATCGGAAATTCAGCCCGGAATATGCGGGGGATTCTCAGCTTGAAATATCCCATCGAACATGGCATCGTCACAGACTGGAACGACATGGAAAAGGTCTGGTGGCACGCCTTCGTTAACGAGCTCCGGGTAAAACCGGACGAGCATCCGATGCTTTTAACGGAGGCCCCCTTGAACCCGAAAGCTAATCGAGAGAAAATGGCGGAAATCCTGTTCGAATCATTTCAGATTCCCGCCATACACGTCGACATCCAGTCTATACTTGCATTGTATGCTTCCGGTCGTACCACGGGGACTGTTATTGATATTGGCGACGGAGTTACTCACATTGTGCCTATTTGCGAGGGTTACACGTTTCCGCATGCTATCACCCGTGTTAATTTAGCTGGACGCGATTTGACCGACCACCTTGTGCGCATTCTCTCAGAACGCGGTTACATGGTCCGAACCAGTGCCGAAAAAGATATCGCCCGTGAAATAAAAGAAAAACTATGTTACGTAGCGCTTAATTTTGACAAAGAGTTGGCATTGGCCAACGATGAAGAATATTCTTCTCTATTTGAAAGGTCGTACCGGCTACCCGACGGGCAGCTCTTGAAAATCAGCTCTGAGAGATTCCGGGCCCCCGAGGCCATTTTCCAACCGTCCATGGTCGGCTCGGAAGCAGACGGCGTTCATGTGAATCTTTACAAGTGCATCACTAAGTGCGACATTGATATGAGAAGGGAACTGTATGGTAATATTGTCCTGTCCGGTGGGACGGTCATGTTGCCCGGAATCGAAGAACGCATGCGGACGGAGGTGTCGGCCCTGTGCCCTGCGGCCGTCAAGGTGAAGATCATCGCTCCCGCCGAGCGGAAATTCTCCGTCTGGATCGGTGGGTCGATACTGGCGACTTTGCCCACCTTTGAACAGATGTGGATCAGTAAACAGGAATATGAAGAGAACGGCTCGGCCATTGTTCACACCAGATAAGGCGAAAGATGTGACAAGAAAGGCAATATTCTGGAAGTTTCGACTGATAGACAGAAATATATATATTTAAATATATATAAAAGAAATGCTTACGCATATACGGGTGCTCATATCAACACAATCTTCGCACACATATTTTCTGTTTATTTATCTGCAATAGAATGAATATTTTGAAAAAAAATCTTTAAATGTTAAAATGGTGGCATTTGTTTAAGTTTCATGTATATATATATATGGCGTGTAACTGAATGACAAAAGATTTTACGTAACCCTCTTAAGATTAATAATGGTTTTATCGATAGAGTTACTATAGTATATATTTTTTGAGGTGGGTATGTATATAAGTTTAGTTAAAGAGCGGTGAAATTTCTTTGTAAAGGATAACTGCCACGTGAAAACGCGTAAACGTGATATCTGAAAATGAAGAAAATGACATAGTGTAATACCTCCAAAGTTTTTGAAAATGGCTAACAACGATAACCGAAAGCAATCAGAGACTGGATAATCTATTTTAAAAGGTGTCGGAAAAAAATAATAATAAAAAAAGAGACTTTAACTAAACTGTAAGATTACCTCGATCAATAAACCCGTATTTAGTCTGAAGAAATCCCTTCTGGTGTCGAAACATGTCAAAGTATGTTCCGTTTGTCATTCAATTACCCACTATTAATCTGATATATATATATATATATATTACTATGTCATTTCTTACACACACACGCACACAGACAGACACACACATGTGCCTACACGCTGACACGGTTAAGGGCCGCATCACGGTGAAAGACGAGTTCCCGTGCGATCACCAAAGTTAAGCAATGTCGAGCCTGGCCAGTACCTATATGGGTGACCGCTTGGTAATACCAAGTGCTGTAAGCTTGGATGTGCGGGTGGTGTAATGGATAATGGTTCGGAATTGTTAATCCGAGAACCGAGTTCCGATTCATGTGAAGTTCGTACTATTCACTTACGCACGAATACCGTTGGGGAAGGTAGGGCTAATTCTATTCTTCTCCCAGCTATGGGTTAATTAGTAAAATTTGCATCACTAAACCATTATTATTCCAAAATAAACTTCTTAAAATCTAAAATATTTTCTGGCTATAAATAACGTGCAAATGATTGATAAGGCTTAGAAAGGAATTAATCATTCAACAGGCAGACACATACACACACACAAACACACACAGACACACATATACAAACACATATGCACAGAGACAAACACACGCATTCATATATGTATTGTTTAAAATTTGATATACATTTATGGGTGAAAAGAGATCAATATAGGATATAGAACGTTTATAGATAGGGATATTATATATATATATATATATATATATGCAGTATTCTCCGTGGTGTATATGTTCTAAGAGATCCATAGAGTCTGAAACCACATGTTCTATCAGACGCTATACATATTGTTACCATTTACATATATTCCAACAATAAATTATTATTCATAAAGTAGGCCCAAGAAAAGATTAAGAACTATGTCTAATAATGAAATAGAACAATTGTAGAAATAGTCTGTAATAAAAGTTGTATGATTGACAGAAGATTCGTTCTTACCGTAGATCTTATTAGGCCCAAAAAGAGATTAACAACTATGTCTAATAATAAAATAGAACAATTCTAAAAGTAGACTGTAATAAAAGTAATGTGACGGATAGAAGATTTGTTCTTACCGTAGATCTTATTAGCCCTAACATATTAACAACAATAACTAATAATAAAATTGAACAATTATACCAATATCCTAGAATAAAATATATTTAACGCATAATAAATTCTTTCTTTCTGTAGATCTTTTATGACAGTAGGAGATTTAAGGTGTTTCGGAGATGGATGTTATTCATTTTATACCTTCTGGTATATTTTTCCCGAAAAGAATAATTAACCGACTCATGTCGGTCCGGTTAAAAATAAATTAAAAAAAAAAACGGAATTCAAGCAAACAGCAATTAATAAGATTATTAAACAGACATGTTACGGAAAGATAATATACGAAGCGAAATTAAAACTATGAAGAGTTACAAGTATTTTGTCTATCGGAGCGAGAAAGAACGTGTCTTCTCGGTTCGCAAGTTCAAAGAGAAAGCGAAAGTGTCTTTAAAATATCGCTCTTCCTTAGATTATCGCCAGGAGGATAATAATTCAATATCCCGACGCCTGAAATTATCGTTATTCTTTTTAATCACTTAGCTCCAAGCAAGGCAACAATGGTACTAAGTAAATGAAAAATTTTGAAAGGAACGGTAAATCCAATCCTAAACAGGGATAAACAAAAGTAGATCTTTTCAAATAACAGGGGAGGAGTGTGAACCGGATGACTGTCAAAACTATTTAGTCCTATTGATGAGAAAAATAATTACTAAATAGAATTTCAGATATCTGTCTATATCTCTGAGATGAGGTATTATGATTATTTGCATTATTTACATTATTCAAACTGTTATCCTCATTTTTATTGCTATATTCACAACGTTTCAGTCGTTATACGCTCTGGTTTTCTTCAGGTGATTGAATCTCTGAGATGAGGTATTTTGATTACTTACATTATTTACATTATTCGGATTGTTATCCTCATCTTCATTCCCATATTCACAACGTTTCGGCCGTTGTATGCTCCGGCCTTCTTCAGGTGATTGGATCTCTGAGACGCGCTATTATGATTACTTTCATTATTTACATTATTCAAACTGTTATCCTCATTTTTATTGCCATATTCACAACGTTTCAGTCGTTATACGCTCCGGTTTTCTTCAGGTGATTGGATCTCTGAGAAGAGGTATTTTGATTACTTAGATTATTTACATTATTCGGATTGTTATCCTCACCTTCATTGCCATATTCACAACGTTTCGGCCGTTGTACTTTCCGGCCCTTTTCAGGTGATTAGAATTTCGGACCGAACCTTTTATTTCGTCCACCGGGGTAGATTGTTCTAGTTCCACGTGCCACGCCTATGGATGATAGGCAAACCTATTAGAAGTATAGAGTTGAAGTAGACTTTAGAAGGAACTGGTAACACAATCCCAAACAGGAAACAAAGGATAAAAGTTTAGCCCTGTTCAAAAGACCAAAGAGGAGCGTGAACTGGATGATAGGCAAACCTATCTACTCCTATTAAAGTCTACTCCTGTTCAACAGACTAAGGAGGAGTTTGAATCGGGCGTTATATCTAAAAATAAAAAAGAACATTTATAAATACAGAGTATAATAACATTGAGTGGTTCTTGAGCCTTCTATTGGGTGAACAATAATTCAATGTATATACACTCCTGGTCAAAATCTTAAGATCAGATAAAAAAGGGTTAAAAAATATAAAATAATGTTACTTTAATCAAAATATATTTACGAAACATTTACATTTAATTAGAAAATTTAGTTTATCAACAATCAAGTCAACATTTTAAGCTTTTAATTGATTTTTTTAAAACATTACGCCCCGAGCAAGGCGTGAAGCCAATAGGATGTAGGGGGGTGCAGAAGATTAGGAGCAAGAGCAGATAGGAGTGATAGAAGAAAGGATGAGGAGAGGGATAGTGGGTAGATCAAGGTAACTGGAGATGTCGATTGACATTACATTTGAATAGTTGGAGATTATAGCTCTCAGGGAATCAGTAATTGGAAAGGGTGTTCCACAGGCGAGAGGTGCGAGGTATGAAGCTATTGAAGTAGAAGAGATGGCTACATTTAAAAGTTTCTACAGTGTAAGGGTGGGAGCGGGATGCCAGCCTCGTAGGGCGCTTGAATTCATGGAGTCTGGGAACCAGTAAAAGCAGCTCCTCGGAGCAATTACCATGAAAGTATTTGTAGAAAAGACAGAGAGAGGCGACAGCGCGTCTGTGAGAGAGCAACTGTAGACGAGATGCCAGATCAGGGCCAATTATATTACATATCCGTCTCTGGATCTTGTCAAGAACTCCGAGGTAAACAGAAGGTGCCCTAGACCATATATGGCAGCAATACTCCATGCAAGGGCGAATGGTTGATTTGTATATTTGAAGTATCGATTCCGGGGAGAAAAATTTCCTGGCGCGGCACAGAGATTAATTTAAACAAACATTGAAAAAAAGGATTTTTTGGGTTGGTCATAAAGATAAGACCATGTAAATAAAAATAGAAAATACAGAACAAATAAGTCACAACGACAATTTAATTCTCAGTAAATCCTCCATTTTTGTAAATTACTTTGAAAATTCGCTTTGGCATACTCATTATTAACTTCTGTATGAGGGTGCTTGGGATGGTCGCCTAGGATGCATAAACTGCATCACGAAGAGAATCCACAGTTTCAAATTGTGATCCATGTTTATATACATCCTTTGCCATCCATCCCCAAATATTCTCGAGTGGGTTTCGATCTGGACAGTGTTGTGGATTGCAGCATTGTCCTGCTAGACAATCCAGTTTTCTCCACATAGATGAAGGCCTTCAGTAATTATCGATGCCTTTCTTAACATGTCAATGTAACTAGCAGCTGTTTGACGACTTTTTACCTCCTGTAACTTAAGAGTTCCATTGTACGAAAATGAACCCCAGACTATAATTGATCTGTGTCATGTTGAGAAACTTTCTTTGGGGACATCTTTTGCATGCCAGTAACTCTGAAGACCGTCGGATTTTTAATGAAGTTAGCAATGACAGTTCTGCTACAGCCAATTTAATTTGCAATGGCTAGTTGCGAAAGACCACATCTTTGAAGTTCAACAATCCTGTCCTGTTCGAACTTTGTTAAAATTTTATCCTTAGCCATTTTAAAATCTGAAATTTAATACTGAAATGAGCTACGTAGATGTCTACATTTCTGAAGTTATGAGCACACTGACTAGTTCTGAAATTTTTGTCCAGTAATTACTTTTTTTCATACATGATCTGATCTTTATGACAAACCAAAAAATTCTTTTTTCAATGTTTGTTTAAATTAATCAGTTAAAAGCTTAAAATATTCACCTGTTTGTTGATAAACTAAATTTTCTAATTAAATGCAAATGTTTCGCAAATATGTTTTGAGTAAAGTAACAGTATTTTATATTTTTTTAACTCCTTTCTATCTGGTCTTAAGATTTTGACAAGGGGTGTATGTATTAAATTAATATTTAATGTGAAGTTATTTGTTATTACCATAAACGTAATTTTAACGAGTACACGTGTTCGAGTCGCCATCTTTGTTATTTCGGTGCTTGCCGGAAGTCATAGATTTCGTTAGTAACGACTTTTTCAGTTCTAGGCCGGTTGATATCAATTTCACTGTTTTAAATAACATGCGATGTCAAATCAAAAACACATACCTCGTAAGATGACTTTTATGGTAATAAGAAATACGAAATGAATAATTAAAAGAGAAATAAAGAAATTGAGTAAGAGAAAAAGAAGGAAATATGAAAGAAAGAATATGAAAAAGAAAAAAAAACAATAACGGGATGGAAGGAAATTAAGAAAGAGGAAAAGAAAGAAATTATGAAAGAAAAAATATGACAAAGAAATAAAGGAAAAAGGAGAGATTTAAGAAAGAGAAAATGAAGGAAATTATGAAGGAAAGAATATGAAAAAGAAATAATTAAAAAAGAAATTAATAAAGAAAAGGAATGAAATCATAAAAGAATTAACCAAATAAATACAGAAACAGAGGAATAAAGAAAGAAGTTAAGAAAGAAAAGATTCAAGAAAGAACTTCAGAAAGGAAGGGATATAGAATGAATTTCTGAAAAAAAGAAAAATGGAATGAACTTGTGAGACCGTAACATACCTACAACATGGACTCTTCCAGGACTATATAAAGTATGCGATATAATACTCTAATAGAAGAGGAGAGAGAGAGAGAGAGAGAGAGAGAGAGAGAGAGAGAGAGAGAGAGAGAGAGAGTAT